CGAGGGTGGGAGCCGCCTTGCCACCCACAGGCCTGATTCCTCTGGGAGGCCGAGCTCAGGTCAGCCCTGCCCAGGCCCCCTCTGGCCTCAGGAACCCGCTCTTCGTCCTCAGCCTCCCCACTCTACAACTTCGCTGTCCAGCAGTCACTCAGACCTCACCCCCACTCCTGAAGCCCTCTCCCTGCAGCTTAGCCCCCGGGGGCAGCGAGCTGCTGTTGTTCATGGCCCTGCTTTGACTGGGCCTCCTAGGCATAGCCTATGTGGGTCTCAGGCTGGAGAGGAGCCTGGGGGGCTTCCTGGATGCAGCCAAGGGGGAAAGGTCTGCTCACCCCTCTTGTTCCCAGCTACAGGGGTCCCCCACCCCGAGTCTCAGTGCTGCACAGCCCTGGAGACCCCAGGGCTCTGCACGTGTGGCCAGTGGTTGGCATTAGCTCCCCTGACGCCCCCCAGGACCCTGGGGCCATGGGGGCGCACCGAGACGACGTCGGCGATGCAGCGGTTGAGGTTGCCCTTGTCATCCTTGATAGTGATGGGCCGGTCCTCCTTGATCCTCTCCATGGCCAATGGGCAGTCCAGCTGAGAACAGGACGGTGCAGGGACCGGGCCTCACAGGGCAGCCCTGTGCCGGACAGGCCCACCGCAGCGGCACCCACACCTCCCACGTCCCGCCCCCTCAGAGTGCAGGGGCCAGCTCTCTCACACGGAACTTGCGGCAGAATTCATCAATGGAGCTGATCTCTGAGCCCTGAACCTGCCGGAAGGCGGCTTTGTACTGCACCAGGAGGCGGGAGCAGGCTGCAGTGTACCTAGGGAGAGGGCCAGGCTGATGCCCTCCCCTCCCTCGGCCCATCCAGACCAGGCAGCACCCATAGAGGGCTGGACGACAGGGCGAAGATGGACCTTCAGGGGCCAAAGTTTCCCTTCAGGTGTATGTGAGGAAAGAACTCTGGACGAGAATGAGTTGGGGGTGTGTGTGGGTGGGGGGGTGGCCAAAATATGTCCACCACATGTGGCCAGGCCTGGGCCATGCAGACTGGCCCCAAGTCCAATATTGGGCTGAGGCCTGCCTGGCCCCACCTGCCCTCTCCTGGAACACATTAGCTGTGCCTACACACCAGCAGTTCACGGTCCTATGCGGCAGGCCTGCTGCACTGAACAAAGGCCTCATGTACCTCCTGGGGGCCAGCCAGGCCTGGTCAGCAGCGTCTCACAGACAGACCCAACCTTCCTGCTTGCCTTCTGAAGATAATAACCTAGGACCAGGTTGGCGGACATGCGTGTACCCCAGCACATTTCAGTACCGCTGCTGGGACTTCCTGGTTGAGCCAGCACCGAGGCCACTAGTACCCAGGGGTGCCCTCCTTGCGCCAGGTGGGCATCCTCAGCCTGATGCGGGAGGTAGAGGCCCACATGGGCCGCCCAGCTTGGGCCTCAGACCTGCTCTTGCTTCCTACTAAGCACCCAGGTCCTGGAAGGAAGAAACAAGCTTCCAAGGACAGGTGTCTTGGAGTTCGGGCACAGGGACAGCAAGCTCACTCATTGGGCGTGACACAGTCCTTGATGTACGCCTTCTCCAGGGCCTGCATCGTCTTCACGACTGCAAACAGCTCTGCCATGTTGTCATACCTGGAAAACACGTCCATCAGGACACGGCCACCAAAGGCGGGAAAGCAGAGGCCCCAGGGCCCAGGGCACCAGTCCTACTGGTGTGGCTAAGGCAAAGCTCCTCACCTGGCTGCCTCCTACCCTACTCCAGGTGGAGGCTTCTGGGGAACGTTTCCCCAACTTGACCCCACATACTCCTGACCTCAATGGGGGTGGGTCTGGG